TTACAGTGGGGTGAAAGAAAAATTTTGAGGATAACATATATTTACTATCTTGATTGGGGTGATAGCTTCATGGGTGTGTACATATGTCAAAACTTATTAAATTGTATACTTACCTGTAGTTCATTGTATATTAATTATTCCTCAATTAAAATATATTGTGTATCTGTTATATATCAGATATTTGGTAATGTATTTTCATGAAATATTAATTTATTTCTGGAAGTATGGCATGGTGGGAATAAAACTGAATTTCAGAGAATAATATACCTCTGGAACAAGAATGTATTCTATAGAGCGGTGGGGGAGGGAAGAGAGAAAAGACATAGTGAATAGAATCCAAAATGATTCCTGGGACAGAGAGGGAGGAGGCAGGGTAGAAAAAAAATGGAAAGGCAACATGGCTGATTGTGTTTTCCAGCAATGGGCACATTATTTTTTCTTACAATGTAGCTCTGATACTCTTTCCATTGAGAGGTGGAGTCTATGTCCCCTCTTTTTTGATACAAAAAGAACTGTGACTTCTTTGGAAGTAATGCTATATGACTTCTGAAATCACGAAAGGTGATTTAGCTTCTGCCTAGTTTTCGTGTGATGTTCACTCTTGGAACCTAGACCCCATAACGTGAGGAAGCCCAAGTAGCTATGAGGAGATCTTGTTGACAGCTCCATCTGGGGTCTTAGCTGATAACCACATCAACCACCAGATATATGGGTGAGCAAGTGTTTGGATGAGTTCAGTCCTAGCCCTTGAATCACCCCAGCTAAGGTCCTGACATTGTGGAGCAGAGGAGAGCTGTCATTAATGCATCCTTCCTGAATTCCCAACCGACCCACAGGATCTGTGAGCACAATAAAATGATTGTTGTTTTATACCACCATGTTTAGTGTCTTTCCAAGCAGCAATGGTAGTGAAACAGTTGATATGAGGAAGAGGAAGAAGTTGAAATACTAAACGAAGAGCTAGAATTCAGCCCTTCTGAAAAATTAGAAAAGACTCATAGGTAGTTTTACTTGCTTTTTAAAGTGGATACTCTCGGCGAAGTGATCTAAGGTTTTCTAAGATGGGAAGTAGACCTTGTCATCATGGGTACCACAAAGGTGGCCCCAGCAGCTAAAATAGTGGAGTGGAAGAAACACCCACATCATCAGTTATCCAGCAATCATTATAAAATCAAGAGTTTGGACAGACACATGGGGCAGGATTTGCCAGCTTCCTGTCCCAGGAAGAAAGACTTAAGAAAAATTGTGGTTTTGATTGATGTTATAGTTAATGACACATACTATAAATTAGTACTCATAATTTTTGCACAACATGAATCAGAAGAGACAGTGATGTCTCATTAGCAGATCATTTGAAAAAGAAGATTTCTTGATCTAATTTTGTCTACTCCCTGAATCAGAACCTTGACCCTTAGGATCAAGCAGAAGCCTTCCAAATCCAGGTATTTGTACATAAAAATATCTTGAAGGTTATTTACCTCTGTTATGAAGATGACATCTTGTTCAGAATACAGTTTTAGAGAGAGTCATTTGATTTCCACAGATCCTCCTTTAATAGCCTTTAATAACATATAAATTAAAGGCTATGTGCTTTTAACCTGTTAAAGAAATGGCTGAATAATTTTACAGCTCTCTTGTTTAACCTGCTCACACTCAGCATTCTGTCTGGTGGTGAAGATGTTTTATTTGCTGAGGAACCAGTGTCTGTGGTAAACTGTGGCAGTGGAAAGGGAGTCTTAAAACTCATTTGGAGGGAAGAGTCTCTTTTTGGTCAGAGTGTGAGCTGAAATGGAGCTCCTATTCTGTACTTCTCTCTCACTTCCTGTGTCACACCATTAAACACCCTCCTAGGGACCAGAAGCTCCGGGAGATTCTGCTTAATCACTTCACACCCTGTATCATGGGGGACCACATTTGCAGGATATGGGGCATGGTAACCCCCTGTGGTTAGGATAACAGCTGTTCTGAGTTTTTAAAACATGCAACATAGAGTGAGAGAGTCAAACAATGATCTCCAGGGCTAGTTACAGAAAGGAATGTTACAGGGTTAATTTGCCCACATTCACATAACTGCTATGTTGTAAAGCCTAGTTTGGACGAGAGTTCATGCTTTTTCTTTGCTAAGTTTATTTTTACATCACACTTTACCCTCAAAGAGGATGTACTTGAGCTGCCTTTCATGGAGGAAAGGGTTAGTATGCTGAAGGTTGAAGATGAGAATTTGTGTGGCTGTTAGTGTACCACATAATAAAGTATGAAGCACATCCTGCTGGCTCCCAGACCCTTGTTAGCCTTCTCACATGTTTCTGCCAAAGTGTCTTTTTGCTGGAAAAGAAATTCAACAACACCATTCTACTGATGGAGTGGACCCCAGGGCAAGTAGGCTTACAATCTAATCTTTATATATTTGAGAAAGAGTGACCATATACCAGAGGTTCTCAAAGTGTGGTCCCTGAACCAGCAGCATCAGCATCTCTTGGTAACTTGTCAGAAATGCAAATTGCCCCAGATCAAGTGAGTCAGAAACTCTGGAGGTAAGGCCCAACAAGCTGTAGTTTAACAAGCGTTCCAGGTGATTCTGACACACATTAAAATTTACAAATCTCTTGAGCTATTTTTTTTTTTTGACTGGGACATTGTGCTGCTATACACCAGAAACTGACACATTGTAACTGTACTTCAATAAAAAAATGTTTTTTTAATTTATGAACCTATAGTCAAGACACTCAGAAAACTATTTTTGTTTACAATTGTGAGGATAATTGTGTAAAATATTCTTTAATAATAGGATGTCAAAGAAAGAGATCCTTTCCATCATGTACCCATTAAGCATTAAGCACTTACTAAACACTCACTATATGCAAAGGGCTCTGTTAGCTACTGTGGGGAAAGGAAAAATGAATAACATATGGTCCCAGTCTCCTGTGACCTCATCCAGTATTGACAAGATGTACAAATCTGATGCATATTTGTACATATTTTTGGTACATACTTGATTTGCCAGCAGAACAGAGATGGAAGTAGCACAGGGGCCTGCTTTATTGGTGGCTATGTGCAATACCCTCTCACAAAATGAAAAAATATGGGCTGACTTCACCATTGTATTGTTGATGTTATCAAGCCAGCCTTTGTTCTTTTCAGAGACGGGGGAGATGAAGAATGTTCATGAAAAGCTTAAGCGCTTCACAGTTTAAACCATACATTCATCTGGTCAGTGACTGAAATAGAACGCACAGCCTCATACATCTTTAGGTTGCCTTTGCTTTATGAATCAGCCACAGCCCCAAGAACCTGAGGCTAGTTCAGGATCACAGAGCCATCTGTTGGTTACCTGCTCAGCAATTAAACAAATGTGCAATAGACCTTCCCTTCTATTTAACTTTTATTAAAAGAAGTGCTAAGGTACTGAGATGCAGTACATCATATTTATTACCAAAATTATTAACAAATATACAAAACTTATACATGTAATTTTCTTACATCCATTTATTCTCTATAATACTGACTTTTGTTCAAGTAGGTTATCTACAGTATGTAAACATCCCTTGGGTTGACCTCACACAGATTAGGAAAGCCCTCTAACCCATGCTTTTATCAGATACTTCTTTTTATTTGGCTTCCATTTGTTGCATCTAATCTTCACATTTGGCACATGGAAGAGATATCTACAGTGCAAAGAGGCAGATTTTCTGGTTTCCTTCTGAACAGTTTAGCAGGGACACAGTTAAAGGGCCTGGAGAACAAGAGCACTCTATAACTCCATGGAGGTGGATTTGTTGTGATGCCAGCGACTCTCGGTTCAGCCATTAAACTTGAGCTTAAAATCAATGCCTCTTCCTTCTCCCACCCACCCCCACCCATTCCCCCATGCAAGGCCAATTTGGCCTTAACCTTGTCTTAAAAGAGTTAAAAGAAATTCCATCCATCCCAGATTGGGTCGGTTAATTTCACCGAAGAAGACTATTTCAATGTTCTTTTGTGTGGGTTGGTTTGTGCGGTGTGATGAGCCAGCAAAACTCTTAAACGGAAAATAAAATAAGATTTAAAAAAAAAAGATAGAAGAATAGACTTTTCTGTTTCCCATTGCCACCTATGTATTGAAAAGCACAGCCTCTTTGAGGCAGCAGAGTGTCAAAGGCCTTGGTGAATGGCAAAGAAAAGCCAAGCTTGCCATACTGAGCCTTGGACTCCACGCCTTTGAATAGAGTGTCACACAAATTAAAAAGAAGAAAAGGTCATTGGAGATTCTGCCCCCCTCTTCCTGTGTTTCCTTTTGACTATTTAACTTAATCTAACCCGGTAAAGCTGATCCAGAGAGAGCTCC